TCATAAAAACGTAACTCTGTCAACGGGATTCATACAACACTATTGGGCTAGATACAAAATAGCTGGGCTAGATTAAACATTGCTTGGCTAGATAAAGAAGGTAGAACGAGCCTAGAACAACGCCGGCATGGCTCGGCTACGTCAGCACTATGGGTCTCTTATTCTGAATGATATTTTGGATACTTTGACGTTTGGAGTGAGTGAGTTTAGTTTTACGCCGCTTTTAGCAATATTCCAGCAATATCACGGCGGGGGAACCAGAAATGGGCTTCACACGCTGTACCTATGTGGGGAATCGAACCCGGGTCTTCGGCGTGACGAGCGAACGCTTTAACCACTAGGCTACCCCACCGCCCCTTGACGTTTGGAAAGAGTTCTGCAAGTGTTTACTTTAAATACCCGCCGTAAATTGGATCAGAAAGGAGAGTGTGTATCATATCTGCATTTTTGTTTGTGAATTGGATGACAGAACCACATGTTTTTTTGCACCGATAAAGCAGACGGACGACATATTCGAATTACAACGACAACGGAGGGTTCATTCATGAACATGGGCCCAGGAACTACCTGAACAGGATCATTTTAACTTAACTTGACGTTGGACATGTCTCTGTGATTGGCCAGTATGTTTTAGATAAATAGATTTTGCTTATGACCAGTAACTTATATTACTAGTGTTTGATTTGAGGGAATAGTTAAGCGACATTGAGACCGTCGATTCAAGGAACGTGGTTGCATTTCACTTATGTTATTATGACTAGAGAACTTTTACTCCTATAACTGTTAAACTGTCGCCAGTTATCTACAAATCACCGATCTTTATACACAGCTTGCCAACACGCCATTTCCCGGTTTTTGTTCTCCGGGCCCCTGACCTTGAACTTTACCAGCCAGACTAAAGTAATTACGCCCCCTCGCGTTCAAAATAGTACTTCCTTCTCAACCAGTTGGTCCAGGTCACCATGTATGTGACCTAATGTCCAAATGACTGCTTATAGACTTTGTGGATGTTCCCTGAAGGAAATAGCGCCCACAGTTGGTTTAATACATCAATAAGTTCTACAACGTTACTCCGCGTTCGTCTGGTGCTTCCGTCTCGTATAACGTGACATCTGGCTTAATAAACAATTAATGCAGTGAGTGAGGCCGCGTTATAACGGGGTTTCCTGGTTCGTGACTGTAAATGAAAGTATGCATATGCTTGATTACGTATTCATGTTTCGGGCTTTTTATTACGCCAATCTTGACTTCAATTGTTACCTCATTTTAATAGGACAATGTGCCCAAGGCGTTTATTCAAAACATGTAGAAATGTTATGGTATTTCTTTTCGCTTTGTAAATGTTGGATTTTTACCGAGATATTTAAGATTTCTAGGGCTGGGACATAGAAAATTACAGGCACTTTATTGCTAAACGGACATATTTCTGAAACTATTTATTCTGTTCCAACACTAGCCTGTTTTTTCAAACAGACGTCGCATGGAAGGAATACATCTGTAAAGCATCAGGCAACAAACATAGACATACTTTTCTATGTTAATTCTAACAGTGGCGGGCGATACGATGGGGCAAGACGCGTTCCCTTTTTCGCGAACACCTGGTGTTATTGATTTCAAGACATCAGTTTCACAGCTAAATTGTCCATCCAGGCGGTTTGAATCTGTTCTGCTGATAATCGAGATAGATGATTCTCTGAAGGATTGTCAAACAACTTCCACATATGATAAGCTTTCCCAGTGGTTTATCTCACAGCCCCTGAATCATAACATTTTCATTCCCCAAAACCTTAACTGTAACGGTAAAACTCTAAATGAAGCAAGTCTAGATTACCCCAGGCTCTGAATCTCCCACCTCAATGGGGCCCTTTTCTATTCAAATTCTTTGTTTCTATACAAATTATATTTTTTCAAAGACTAAGCGTGAGTCTGCTTTCAGTGTCGGATTGATGGTTCATGTGGTAATTGGGGTTTAACCTCATGATTATTTGTATGGCTTGAGTACCTGAAGTGCATTTCGAAGAGAATTTATGGATAATTAAAGTACTTAAAATATAGAAGTGACTTCCATAAAATCTCGCCTTTTTGTATGGCTGGACACAGTAATTAAAATATTTTCAAACTCATAACTTTGAGAAACAACCCAGTCATGTCGAGGTCAAGTTAAATCACACGGTAGGGAGCCCATTAACCGTCACAGGTATTGGTGATCTTCACAATAGACAGCAGGAAGCATGCTTCTGGCATTGTCTACCTGAACAGAGACTCCTTGCATGCTCATGGTCGCTGACGGGTAACCATGACAACAATGTATAACAATCATTGAAAAGGGTGACATCTGGTTGTAATATTCATATTACCATTCACGACTACAGCAGGCAGGTTGATAGATATCCTAATATTGACACATGGTATTGAAAGGAATCTTTCATTATACGGTTGTATTGGGATTGCTGTTTATCAATATAAACATTTTCGGCTCCTTACATAAATTACAACGTCAGAGAATGCTCAGTTTCTATTATCCATCGAAAGAGATTTCATTGGGGGTTAAAGGTTAAACAGCGGTGGGGTAGCTATTGAAAACAATAAATGCTCTTCTACGAACAATGTCTGTGTTAATTAACTTGTATGCCTCCTGTTCAACAGGGCTGTTCCCACTTTCATCGTAGGGATGGGGAAGCCCACATGGTTACAATGGGAGTTCTCACAAATGGAAACCTTACAATGTGTGAAACCTATTTCTGGTACGGTGTCCCCCGCCGTGATATTGCTGGAACAGGCGTAGAACTAAATTCACTCACTCACTAAACTTCACTCACTTGTATGAATTGATCATTAGCACAGATTGAGTGAGTGAGTGAGTGAGTCTACTTTACGCCGCTTTTTAGCAATATTCTAGCAATATCACGGCGGGGGACACCAGAAATGGGCTTCACACATTGTACCCATGTTGGAAATCGAACCCGGGTATTCGGTGTGACGAGCGAACGCTTTAACTACTAGGCTAACCAACGGGAATGACACACCAAACCCATATATATTTACAGTATGGCATTGCTCCAAGGCTGTACCAAACGATTAGCCAAAGATCTAGAAATTATAATTTAAACTAATATTTATTGCTTAAGAGACTTGTGCAGGCCGTACATAGAAGCCAATTTATCTCACATTCTGAATTATAGGAAAACGTAACTAGCGAAATATCGACAGATAAAGGTTTTCGAACAGAAAATGACTGCCGACCACGATGGTTGTCCACAAGACTTGCCCTGTGCCACGATCACTGAACATCTCCGTTAAATGTAATGAAACCAGTCTGGACGATGAAAAAGCAAGAGGACAAAATACTCGGAGGTCATAATTAAAAACACACATGGTCATTAATTAAGTTATAAAGGTTTCAAAGACTGCGTTACTATACAATTCACCCAAGGTCAAGTAAACAGCGAGACATGTGGAAACGACGCTACCTTGGACTTCAAAACAGACGCCATTAATTGGAGCGTGAACCAGTTTCGTGAAGCCAAGGTCAGACAGCGCTGCTGTGGTTCAACAGAGCTTACATGCGATATATCAGGGAGATTACTCTGGTTGTGCTATATCGGGGGTGGGGTGGGGGTACCCTAGCTGTTCCATGGTAGCAGGATACGTGGACGTATTTTTTATTATGTCTTATCTTCAAAATGCGACTCCTTTACACTTCACTTCCGCTGACTGGGCACATTTAGTCAGCAGCCATACTGGATCTGTACCGATCAGTGCAAGTGGTGAAACTGTCTGGTTCGCCATTGATTAATGCTAGAGCATGGATGAATTATTTAGGTCAGATTAATTGAGGCTGACACAAAAGCCAGTGAGAGCGAGGACCTGGAGTAATAAGCTCTCAACATGCCAGCGTTACAAGTCGTTGTCTGACTGAAACATGGTAGTCGTCATGGCTTGGGCAGATGTCTGAAGGGATTCGGAAACTTCTGTGTCAACAGAACACAACCCCCAAGGAAGTGCTGCATCAATAAACGCTGACGTTCGTCAAGGCTAAAGACTTCTTGCTCTCATTTTCGTTTTGAAATTTGATTTAAGACACCCTCCCTTCCCCCTAAATATGTCTCAGATGTCATACATGGCTCCAACACTAACGCTCTACTCAGCATATCTCCTCCCAGCGACTCCCCACCCCCTCCGTTCCCTACCTATCCCCCACCCATTAGCAACTGAGCCGCCTGACCCAGCCCATGCACCCAATCGCGTCTATCGTGTTTTCGCCATTTTCCACAAGCCTGCACAATTCATAAACCCCCTGCTAATTTTATGACAGGCTCATTGTAAAGATCTTCTCGGTGTTATGTAACGCAATGTTATAGATACCAGGCTACTTTCAGACTTGCATATATCGTGTATCCATCTTTGCAATTACGAAGCGTTTTGTCGACCCACAGTTTATCCCGCGCCATCGATATCTCTTGCCTTTTGAATTTAAAAGTGACGCATGCGTTATTTGAGGGATAAACTGTTTGATAATGATAATAATGACAACGATAATGCTTATAACACAAATGGTAAATATGTACGAAACAATACGTTCTTATTGATATGCTTTGTAAAGTTCCTTTACCACAGTCAGCCTGGTATATATTGTGATGTGTAGTAAACTATCTACAAAGGTATCTGGGTCATGTACTTGACAGTCTGAAGTGCTATAATGGCAGGGGGTTTACTGCTATACAACTGAGTACACTAATATCTTCCTTTCATTGTTTATCTCGACCTATTTTCATGATGAACAAAACAAAGAAACTTCATTCGGAGTCCATGCAACATACTGCAAATGTATATTACCTTGCTTATCGATCTGGTACATAAAACCTGGGCGTTTACTATATCACGGAGTGTAAGTAATATGAACGGTCCCTATCGAAACCAGTTCCTGAAACCTTACCGCGTTGTGTACTCGTACACTATGGCCGAATTGACATGCATGCAAAATAAGTGCATGTACTCACGCTCTGAAATTGTATCTTCGTCGACGAGGTTGCTCCGGTGCACTGTTTCTTGCTCCGCGTCGTCCGCGTCGTCCACTTCGTCCACGTGCCATGATGCTCCGAAATATTCAAAGAACCAGATCCAGAAACAAGGAACCCACAAGTCAGATGCCTTGTATCCGAAAGTATTTGGACAATGACACGAATGTTTCCGATTTGCAAAGGCACAGTCAGCACCAACGAGCCGCGGTCTGGTTAGTAAGCTGTATGTACTGGAGAGCAACAACACCTCACTGTGATCCTCACCCGGTAGTAACAGTCAACTCGATAGAGCTAGCGCGGTCACACTCGGATGAACGAGCGTTAGGCGTTATAGCGAGGAGGTTGCGTATTAGTTATGGCTGGGCTGTTGTTGTTATTGTTGTTGAAGGGAATATTGTTACAGGTTTGGGGTTGTTAGTGAAGTCTTCTATTGTGTTACAAGCTGTTAAACGTTAGAATTAGTTGTAAATTAAATGATAGGCTTGCGCTATGACTGAATAGTTGCATTTAGTGTGATAGAGACCAGGGCAAAATACATTTCAAATTAAGCAAGCTGTGTTCAGCAAAACCAGCGTCAGACAAAAACACGATAAAATAAACAAATGAAAAATAAAAAAGTCAAAGTCAAATGAGAAAGAAATAGAGTTTAAAAATCAACGAATAATTACGGTCGTTACCTTTATATTGTAACTGTATTAAACTGTATTTATGACCATCTTTCGTGTTTTGATAACTTTCCACCATTTTTATATTTAATCCCCATTTAACAGAATAATGAGATAAATATCAATTTTACGTCGTAAGTTAAGAACTGAATCTGCGAATAATACAACGTCGTCAGCAAACAGTAGGAGAAATATTTCCTCAATATCACAATCAATTAATATTCCATGGGTATCTTCTGCCAACAACCCGTGAATGTCCGGGTTAGAATATTGGCCTTCAGTAACCCATGCTTGTCGTAAGAGGCGACTAACGGGATCGGGTGGTCAGGCTCGCTGGCTTGCTTGACACATGTAATCGGTTCCCAAACGCGCAGATCAATGCCCATGCTGTTAATCACTGGATTGTCTGGTCCAGACTCGATTATTTACAGACCGCCGCCATATAACTGGAATATTGCTGAGTGCGGCGTAAAACTAAACTCACTCACTCACTAACTTCTGCCAACATGGTATGAACTAAATTTAAATGCAGGCATGTAATATTGTCAATATTCTTCCAATCTTGTTTAAAAGTTAATGAACAAGCAGCTCATTCTATTTGGCGTACAACTTATTGTGTATAGTAATATACAAAACAGGTAGTATGGTGTCTGTAAGAAATACAGCCTCGGTGTAGATATTATTTACCTGAACAAAGCAGAACCTGATTCAAAGGATCAGCTCTATCCAAATCTTTACAGACTATAATTATGTCCCGGCGTCACAGATGACAGGATTGTTAAGGTAAAGACCCATATAACTACAACCCTTCGTTATCATGCTATGTAGTTATACACGATGCTTTGCATTGGTTTTTGTCAGCGTGTCTTTAGGAGCAGCCGGGGTGGTAGCTACAGTAACGTTCAAAGTTACATTCCCTCATACAGTTCCTGAAACCACAAACATCCGAAAACTCTGAGGCAGGTACTCGTTGCTTTTTCAGTCTGCGTGTCTTCGGTTTCACGATCTCAATGCTTGGCTCCTTTCAATTAATACAATTAAAACTACAAAAGTAATTTAAAAGAATTTCAAGGACATATAGTTACTAAAACCTGGATCACTCTATCCTATGGTATGCATGCATAGTGCTGTTTTCTTTGAGTGGTATTTTGAGGTTGGTGTGATGAACAAGGGGGATAGTTCTTTGGATATATCTACATCGAAACGTAGCATATATCGTAATAAAGAAGGTGTATATCCACAGAACTATCCCTCTTGTTCGTAGTGTTATGATCTGTAAACCGGTCCGATCTACCTGCTGTTGATAAATATTCAAATAAGGTCAGCGAACAGTGACCTCTTCAGGTAGGTCGATACATTGTCTGCATAATCAATAGATAATTGACTAACGTTTCCCATATACTGACTGACTGACTGAGTTTGGTTTTACGCCGCTTTTAGCAATATTCCAGCAACATCACGGCGGGGTACACCAGAAATGGGCTTCACACATTGTACCCATGTGGGGATTCGAACTCGGGTCTTCGGCATGACGAGCCAACGCTTTAACCACTAGGCTACCCCACCGCCCGTTTCCCATATAAGTCAGGTAGGTCGATACATTGTCTACATAATCAATAGATAATTGACTAACGTTTCCCATATACAGTTGTTCCCAGAGTGGGTGTTTCTGCAGTACTGATGGCGGTACGGGGTGTATACAACCCATTATGATGTTATAATGGTTTACAGTTATGACGTCACAATGCTAATACCTCTGTCACAATGGTATTAGACATTGCTTGACTCGCGGAAAGCTGAGAGTCATCCCATTGTAGGCAGTTTCTATCACATTATGTTGGAGAGTAATAAACAGAATACTAAACTCGTTTCCGTGAAATACCATTTTTATTAAACTCGTGAAAAATTTAGCATCAAACTCGTTTCGCTCGTTTTATACCAAATCATTAACTCGTTTAATAAAAATGATTACAGGGAAGGTCGTTTAGTATCCTCTATGTCTCAAGCATTAAACTAGTCCCTTACGGGGATGACGGGTAGGATCCCCGGTGCTGGGGGTGTTGGCGGTGTTGGTACTGACAGCGGCGAGGTCAGCCCAACCATTTTTGCAGCTTACTAAACATTGCTATCATTTGTACAGTTATAGGAGATCGTGTCTAGTAAGCCTAAAACTCACGTACTCAAGCAGGCACCCTTCTTCACTTTCTCCTCACTCACGCACGCACTCGCTCACTCTGTATAGTGATATCCCTAGGCCTATTGTCAGATATTTTTGTGATCATCAACAGCACCCTTCCAAATTAATACATCCACACTTGAGTCAATCACTCCACTTCACTGACCAGATCGGGTGACGTTGCAAGGCTCGGTGTTTGTTTTTCTACGCCGCACTCAGCAATATTCCACCTATATGGCGGCGATCTGTAAATAATCGAGTCTGAACCAAACAATCTAGTTATCAACATCATGAACATCGATCTATGCAATTTTAAATACGATGACATATGTCAACCAAGTCAGCGAGCCTGATCACGTAGCCCGATCCCGTTAGCCGCCTCTTACGACATGCATGGGTTGCTGAAGACCAATTCTAACCCGGATCTTCACGGGTAGCAAGGCGATGACTTGGTTTATGTAGCATCACTACCCCAACGTGTCGTTCCATGCTGCTATATCTTGAATGGTCAAATCACATTTCCAAGTCTATATTTATTTTGTCCGTCAGTTTCCTAGATTTTGAATAGATAACGAAAGCGACAAAAGCCATAACTATATAACATCCATCCCATTAATAAGAAATCTCATCCAAAAGCAATTTGAGTGAGTGAGTGAGTATGTTTTTACGCCGCCTTTAGCAATACTCCAGCAATATGACACCAGAAATAGTTCACACATTGCATGCAAGTATGGAATCGAACCCAGGTCTTCGCGTCAGGACGAGCGAGCGCTTTAACCACTAGGCTACCCCTACCCTATTCACTATCACATACTGATGACTTAACAGCCATGTTGTGCAGGACCAACACTGCACTGATGATAGAGCAGCAACGTTTGGGCGGGTATCTCAGCTCCGAGTGGAGGCAGTGAAGGCGGCGTCTTATGACACCAAAACATCTCTCTGTATACAGTTTCTGGTTGATGCTTGGGAGAAGTTGTATCGCTCTTCTTGTCTCGTCCGGGGATTTCACAGGTGTCATGAGCCATGTGCGGAGGGGGTAGACACTGCTACCGAGAATGATTCCGTCTATTAGTCTGTTTAATGTGGATATTATTTGTCAGTCAGGATTGTTACGAGGATCAACCAAAATTTGAATGAAATAGCGTAAATAGTTTCACATTATTGCACATTTATATTTTGGATAATGAATTTCCAACGTTTTGAAGAGTAATATATCTGTCTCCTAACTAGACTTCACCTCGAGGCCGTTGATTCGACGCCTATTATTAGCGAGGCGTTAGTCCTTCAAACTGAAAATGAGGCTATGACGCCAAAGGGATCAAGGACATATATCATAATAGAATGAAAATATTATATGTTATATACGGGGTGGTCACCGAGGATGAATAGATAACGCTTTTCCTGTAGAGTGGGTCCCCTACATCTGAACTTCAGCAAACAAATCTGTGTTTAATCGCAGTCACTGGGTTGATGCCTATACGGTAATTGTAATTATGAATTATATATACATTCGCACAAATGGAAATCGACGCACAAATATCTCATCTATATAGTTTGTATTTTTTTCCAGATTTTTTAGAAATGCACGTGTTACTTAAGCGCAGTATATTACACTCACGCACGCTTACATAAGTATAGTCACGCACGCAGGTACACATGCACTCATAGATACATGAACACATACTTATTTTCAACTTTCGTTTTTTACAATGTTAATAACGTAGCAAACTTAATAGCACTGTAACAAATTAATATGATTAAATTTGAAATATGGTCACCACAGGCCCTCGTGTCCTTGAGTGGATTAAAGATTTAAAAAATATTGTTTTTGAGATAACCCATGAATGATTCACAGCACAATATGCTGTATTGTACTGGGAAGCATTTCTATTCGGGGGTCATATCAAATTTATATATATATATATATTTAAAATCTTTAATCCTCGCAAAGACACGAGGGCATGTGTTCCACACTGGTACTTAGGCCCCACAAAGCAATAGTCCGGACAAAATATTTTCTTAGAAACGAACTGATTTGACACATTAAATGATTGTTATATCCACTTGTGAGATTCCACACACTGGGGACACAAAATCTTTATGGATCAGGGGCCCGTTTCACATAGCTATCGTAACGCTACGACTGTCGTACGTTTATGTTACACAATAGTCGTAGCTTCGATAGCTTTGTGAAACGGTGCTCAGGCAAGTAGAACGGAGTGGAAAGTAGAATTTGAGAACCCGTCGCGTCCTTGGAACAAAATATCCACTGTATACGGCACAGACTCAAACATCCGAAAACATGATTCACCCCTTATCAAACATCAAAAGACATGATTTATCCTCCATTAAAGTCTCGGGTGGGGACGCCAATATGAATGAATAGCACGCGCCTCCGTGATTCGTTGGAAGAGAATACAGTTGTTTCCATAAGACGCTACCCGTATTGCTATGCTTGCACTTAAAATAGTTATGGTGTTTGAAACAGGTCTAACAGGTCCTTAATTTCGTCACAAAACTTGAACACCTCTGTTATGCCTCGACCGTCGAGATTTTGTTTGCAAGAAATACGCCTCTCCTCTCTATTGTAACTTTAAGCACTGATTTTCTTTCAGATGTCGCTGGTGTTTATTTTTAATAATCAAGTGCGGGTTATGGGTTCAATATTCAAACATTCAACTTTGCTTCGGTTTACCCGTGTGGTTTTTTTCGTCACCATGAAAGCGCGATATTTTGTATGTGCGAATGGCTCCGCGCATATAAGGAGACAAAAAAATGAAATTGGCCAAATCACAACTGAGCGAGTTCTATTTTTCGTCGTATTTAGTAATGCGCCTAGATCCTTTACACTATTTGGGACGCCAACATTGTGAATATCGTCTGGTAATGACGCATTTTAGATGAATTTACTTTTCACCACACTTTCATTAGAGGCAACAGCAAGTTACCAACACGATCTAATGACGCAGTAAAGTACTGATACGTTGTACCAACCTAATCAGTTGTAACCGGTAATTCGGTAATACTGGTCCTACTGAACAAGGAAGGTAGCTGATTGTTGGGCTTGGTATTTGATTTAACTGCCTCTAAAAATGAAGAAAACCTATGGACTCCTTATTCATTATGTATATAATTTAGGAACCCGTTTTTCTGTAAAGTATATTATTTCTGAGACTAGATGGTACTCAATACCAGCCTGGGTTACTGTAGACCAATAATAACCCGGATCTAACATTTTTTATTTTAAAAAAAATAAATTTTATCTGTTTTTTTTTTTTCATGTAACATTTTGCTCTGCTTTTTGTGCGTCTTGGTTCCTTTGTTTGAGACGGTTTACATGTACATATGTACAAGCCTTTCTGGAACACTCACCTGGAACACTCACCTGGAACACTCACCTGGAACAAATTTAAGCAGTGGCAAATAAAACGGGATGAATGATTGTAGTGACAACAGATTGTAGGTTGTAGGGCTGGGGCGGGTAACCCGGATACCCGGGACGGGTGGGTAATGAGTTGGACCCGGGCACCCGTCTCAATACCCGGACCCGTTATGATCATGTGACTAATAGATTAAACAATGCAATATGTTATTCTTTCATGATTAAAAGGTTGTATCGTCTTTGAAGATTTAGACATAATTTACAGTCACTTCTTTTGAATAATACATGGTTAGATATTGAGAAAATCGACATTTTAGCCTCCGAGCTGAAGAATACATTGCCATTTCTTGCAAATTTGATGTCAGGAATTAACATAACGGGTATCCGGGTAGGGCAGGGTAATAGGGGTTGGGTACCCGGGTAGAGAATTTGGACCCGTCCCAGCCCTAAAAGAAGCACAGATAAACGAATGTGATCTCGCCTGAACATAAAATTAATATTACGGCATGGTGGTCACCCAGATGACGCCGGATAGCTTTGGGGACATCCCAGTCAGCACTTTCCATTCGTTTTTCTGTATCTCAAACTGCTAATACTATACAATACATTTCTGAAACATGTGAATGTTAGGATTTCATAATTTCAGGGAAGTCGAATAGGAGTTTTTCTTCCGCATTACCCGCGGCTCTAAAACCCCGAACTGCAGTGTTGTTGACAAATATACTACCCATCAAAAGTTTAGACTCACTTAAAACAGTCACTATATGTTATGTATATATATATATATATGGTTACATCGAAGATTGATTCCTCCACTAAGGGAACCAACTGCAATCTTTATGCAGATGAATTGCACGAGGATCATGCATCAAATTGCTGAAAAGCATGTGCAAATATCGTGCATGTGAACAGCTGCGTTTTTGTGTAAAGTTTTGTTAAGAATTCGCCGATTTTCATTGATTTTTATCATACATTAAACCAGGGATACTCTACAACAGGGATAGGTTACTCGCTTGCTTTCTTTACCATTTGTACTAATTAACGTGTGCCTCGTCATGCTCCAACGCACACAGTGACTTGGTTCGGTCCCAGCGCAACTTCGGCTGCGTTTAACAGTACTTCAGCCAGTGTATTGTATCAGTCGGAATTTTACAATGAATGAATGAATGAATTAAGAGCAAGAATTTTATGTGAATGAATGAAAGAAATTAAGAAAAAGAACAAAAGAAAAAGAACAAAAGAAAAAGAACATATGTGAATGAATGAAAGAATAAATGATACACCACGGCCATCCCTCCCCAAACATGTTAAAGAACACAAAACTATCGGTAGAACACATATGTTAACATCAGCTGTCCATTTTCAAAAAAAAAATTACTTTGAAACATGTTTTTACATTAGTAACTAATTCAGATATCTTATTGCATGTGTGGAATGGCATGGGCATGTACAGAATGTTAATTGACACTGTCACAGACCCCTCAAAAACAGAAAGTTTAGAACTATCACAAAGCGTTGTAAACACCTTTCCAGTTTTGTCAAATACTAAGATCAACAAGAAAGAAAGAAGTTTTAGAACTATAACACTCAAGCATCACAAGCACCAATGGCGATATGTCATATTTTTCACACACCTCAAATACACACTAACAAAAAAAAATAAAAATAAAAAGTATCAATGTTACTTGCAAAAACCTTTCACCTGATGGTATATACCCCTCATATAAATTAAAGGTGTATGTGAAAGATGTTTAAGAACAATAACTAGAAACACTCAAACAACGCCCTGTAGTATTTCAATGGCAGATCGGCGATATGTCATATTTTTCACACACCTCAAATACACACTAACAATTTTTTTAAATTATAAAACTATCACTATTACTTGCAAACACCTTTCACGTGATGGTATATTCCCCTCATAAAAATTAAAGGTGTATGTGAAAGATGTTTTTGAACACTAACTAGAAACACTCAAACAACGCCCTGTAGTATTTCAATGGCAGATCGGCGATATGTCATATTTTTCACACACCTCAAATACACACTAACAATTTTTTAAATTATAAAACTATCACTATTACTTGCAAACACCTTTCACGTGATGGTATATTCCCCTCATAAAAATTAGAAGGTGTATGTGAAAGATGTTTTTGAACACTAACTAGAAACACTCAAACAACGCCCTGCAGTATTTCAATGGCAGATCGGCGATATGTCATATTTTTCACACACCTCAAATACACCCTAACAAATTCTTTTTAGTTATAAAACTATCACTATTACTTGCAAACACCTTTCAACTAAAGGTATATTTCCCTTCTAAAAATTAAACGAATATGTGAAAGAAGTTTTTAGCGATATAATTTAGTCTTTCTTCGCTGTGTACTGAGAATTGAAGCCAGTGAGCTACAACATGCCCACTTGAAACTTTACTACAAAGCTACTGTACTTATACTGACACTAATGTTGCAGCCATGAAATAGTGGTGCTCTGTAATAACCACAGGCTACGGGTTGTGAGGTCTATATCTTTATTCCGTAGAGGAAGAAGTAGTAGGAGTAGACACTCTGTAACAATCATAATTATACAATGTATATGTATATGCTAAAACCACATCCGATGAACATATGCCTTCATATATATATAGGTATAAACATCTCATAAATGCATGTCTTCATATATACACATCGGAATAACAAAGACTTAAGTAAACAATGGACCTGTCTTACATAATCTCTCGCAGGTTATGAAAAATGGCATATACTATTGTTATTATTACAAGTGACATTTCATGTGGCATATCAAGAAACAGACTATAAAAACAGACAATGAAACCTACCCTGTGGGTGACACGGGAGTGTGCTCAAGCACCCAGCAGCCGGGCAGCCAACACGTGCAATAATCCTACATAAAATAGGATACACTGATGAGAGGTATTGTCCATGAGACAACACAGAAAATAATACCATTATACCAACATATATACATATTTGAAACTACCACTATGGAGTTACAAACAAGATACAGAATTGATGAAATAGATCAATCTTACATCATATACAGCATTTGTAAAACAAGAAGTACAAGCCAACATAAACATATAGCAAAAACCACCCATATGTTATACAATTATTTATATTAGGGTTTAATTATCTATGTATATATTACAAACAGTATAATTACTAACCTTAGATCAAAACTCAATATTTAGAAAGTCCTCATGTAGAGACAGTGTGGTGCAAAACTGATTAGTAACATGGCGGTGAGAAGTATATTTGAACTTACACCAATCAACTGAGAAGCTGAGCCTGGGCTATTGTTAAAACAACTAAAGACAATGACATAAAAGTAGATCGACCCAGATACCCTTAAATACACAATGAACCAGCCCTGTAACACAGAACTGAACAGTTAAGGCCAAGACAAGATGCGACTGGATTGACAACATATAATATATCTATACTGTATAGAGAAGTCGTCTGTCGGATCACCTGAAATAAGAATAAAATGAAAATGATTAATTATAAATGTATGTACACAATATACAATCCCTGGATTTATCCCTGTTACACTAATAACAATTATTTGACTTGAAATGAAGTGACAGAATAGGTAACTTATCTTCTACATGTAGGTTTTCAGTTGTCACAACACTCAGCGTATGTAATCAGCTGTTGAAAATAAACCGGGCTCAATCTTAAAAACTACGCTGTCGCCATATTGGCTACACTGGTCACGTGACGAGCCGAGGCATAGCTTAGGAGCTTTCCGAGGAGTGACCACTTAAAATGGACGGGCTAAAGAAACGCTACCACAGATTAAAAACCCTATTGTGAAATAACCACAAAAGATAGATCCATAAAACAAAATGAACAGAGAGAAGCGGCTTTCATCCGAGAATAGCACCCTCTGCCACTCACGTCACCTTGTGACTCGAGGTCTGCCTGATCGTGGCCTGTCTGAGGTCAGTTCTGTCAGGCGGTATCTCTACATGAGTCTGGTGACGGTTGGAAATGTCTTCAGTTAACGTATAACATGAAACCACTGAAAATATAGCGGATTTCGAACCCAGCATCTTCGGTTGTTCTGCTCTAAAGTTGATGAGTATTCTGAAGATCAAACAGATCGCAGATTTTTGTGCTTTACCATAGTCTCCTTACTCCTCATATTGTTTCCATGTCATACTACTACATATGATTTATGAAATTGTTATAATGTGCATCATTTATATGTGAATGTATCTGTATTTCTATATCTCTGTACCTACTGTGTTTATATTTGTAGGTTATAGAATACAGCCACTGTTCCTTCATGGAATGCTATAAATAATAATAATAATAATAATAATAGCGCCTTTTTTGCTTATTTAAAAACACTTATTGCTGTGCAATAAATATCTTTTATTATCAATATGGTGGACCATAAGTCATGTCATTTTTTCAATACGTGCACGTGCACATATTACTTTCGCCTAGCAACCATTGTTTCTGTATTGCTTCGTCTGTGACGTCATTAAACAATTGAACGTGACGTTAATGAAGAGGGACGTCACACTTGCTAAAAATTGATAATAAAGAAATTATTACACTCAAGCAAGTGTGTCATATGACTTACACTAAACTCGTGCAAAATTATGTATTGCCCGAACAATTTCACAGTCGTTTCGTAATAAGTCATATGACACACTTACTTGTGTAATGATTATAAATCTCTTTGAGTGACAGTGATATTACGTACGCTCACTATACATTGTAGTCGATAGGCTAGAGTTGCCCCCCTTAGAGCACCTGTCAAAATGTAAACTTCCGGTCAATCTTTGTTCATCTCACTTTCACAAGGCGGTGACTTTTAAGCTGACACAGCTCACCGTGATCTAACGACCTGGACTTGATTGAGTATTCTTCAGTTCTACGCGTCTGGACACTACTGACATGTCACTCCAGGATAACGTTTAGGTGTGTTCTTTCTTTTCATGTCCCTTTAATAAGCGACTTACAGTAAAGTTGACATTGTTTCTGTGTTAGTCGGTGTCAGGGGACACACCCCCTATGATGTGGTAGACTGCACGGACCTTAGAGACGGCGGTCTGTCTGACAGTGTTGGCTGCGCATTCATTCACTAGTCTTATACATTTCAGATAAGGGTCTTGTCACGGTACCACAGGGGCTAGTAAAAGGGACCTTTCATATGATATATATGTATATAGTGCTAATTAGACGCCGGCAGTGGCAATTTAATACACCTTGATGCCAGTTTTTCACCAGCAGTGACATTATATGCCTTGATGCTAGTACATGTTATATGGGGCTAAGACCCAGGCAGTGACAATATATACTTTGATGCTAGTAGTGACAATATATGTCTTGATATAAGTTTTTCACCAGCATTGACAATATTATAACCTATACCTGTGGACATTACTAGAATACTCAATCTGATATTTTTTGTTTTATACATACAATCATTTACAGTTGATATGCTTGGGTTTTTATTATCACAGCTGTTTTTGTTGGCAGAAATTGCTAATTGTGTGTAGCTGTATCAAGTGACCTGACATTTACAAAATGTTGCCAGGCACCTGAACATTGTATGAAGAAGTGGGAGTTATCTGTTACATATCACAACATTTCTCCTTTGTCAGAGCAGCTTGTAATTGTATCTATCGATAGAGAGGAGATTAATATTATCAGCAATATCTAATAAATTGAACAATTAGGCATCAAAGTCTGTGTGATGTAACTTTTTTAATCCATGGCTAGGAACAGTTGGACCACAATGTTTCACATGTTTTGATAACTGTATTTGAGAACTCTATGCTTCACTTCTATGTGATGCATATGAGGGTGTGTGTCCTGATCCAATCAAACGCACTCTTTACCTTTTCCTAAAATTCATAACAAAAAGCAACCGATCATCGTGTAAAGTGACACTACCAGGAAGGTCATTTTCAGAAAAGAAAAGGACTTTAGCAAGTTCCAAGTTTAGAACTAGCAATCTCCAGTTTGTAAACAAAGGAGCCATGTCTTTTTCTGTTATTGTAAGAGTGCTTCATTCAAATATTGAAACCACGACTGGCTAATGGTATAATGCTAATCAGGGCTCCAGATAATTTTTCAACATCAGGAGTACGTACTCCTTATTTTTTCAATATAGGAGTACTGGAAAATCTTAAGAGTACTGAATGGAATTTAATGGCATATCAGTAACCTTGTGTTTAGTGTCATATATGTACCACTACGTTGCTAGTCTTGTGTAAACAGGTCAATAAACAATAAAACAATACTTTTTCAGATACATACGTCTGTAAATGATTCTAGGACCATTGTCGTCGTGCGTATCTGCTATGTTTTCCAAATTATTTCCTACCGTATCGTGCATATTTTTTATCCGTACATACGCCAATACAGCCCTTATCTGGATCCCAGCCTAATTATTGACTCAGGAAACTGTGCAGATATATCATCATTAATGAAGTCTAGATCAACTTCTAGAATGTCGATCAAACAATTAGATATATCATATTGTCATGCACACGTCATGAACACTTCCACAGGGAAACTTGAAACCTCTCTCGGAGTTGTTAGACAATATGAATACTGTGACATGTACCAGCTTGTCATGCACATGATACAAAATGTAATCCATTTTATCCAGATATATATACTTATATACATACTTACATGTCAAGGCTGATATCAATACAGTTCAGATATTAGCTTTAGGATTTTTGTCAGTACATCAAGCAAAGTCTGTGGTAAATATGCATGGAACAAAGTCAGTTATGGATCATTATATTTTTGGTATATTTGCTGTCAAAGGTTACTTTTGTGAGTAAATGAAATACATGGACAAATCATGTGGTGGATGAAATGTCTATTATCACAAACTATTGAGTGACTGCATAGATGTGTTGAATGGGGCTGATATTGGTAGATGAATGTTGAAATGAGTGAAGATGAGTTCTTGCTGCTGAGATGTAGAAACCACTGCCACTCACCACTCACTGTGTTACATATTATCATCTAATATAAAATCACTATTTGGTATGTTTAGCCCGGATCAGATTATTTCCTCCATAGCAAGAAGTAAAGGGAGGTAACTCCTACCTACTTATGTTTTGAGGAAATATATAAATAAATATTTAAAATTTATTGTTCATTCTGTTGACCACCTACTCCTTAGAATTTGTAGGACAATACCTGTGAATGAAATATATCCTGAGCCTTGAGACCTGATGGGCTTTACACATTGCACCCATATGGAGAATACAACCTAGACCTTTGGCGTGACAAATGAACACTTTTATCTGTGGGCTACACCAGAAACACTTTCTAACAGTCGACAAAGTCAAAAGTATTAGGGGAGTTCATTAAAATATGACACAATGAAAAAGAGGAGTGAGCGAAGTTTATCATGTCTAATATTTGGGAGGGGTGCATACAAAAGTGATAGTTCTATTTTCTCAAAGAAAAACTATATGTCTGAACATTATTTGAGGACAGTCAGGTATGATACAGTCCTGAGATTTCCCCAGCCCATGAGATGATCTGTCCTCATCTGAAAGGAATTTCACTGATATGCCTGCAAGATACATTTTTGGTGAAGCTGACATTGTGTTTTTGTTCTGTTTTGTTGCAGATGGACTTTCCCCGAGTATTGACATAAGGTAACAATGGTTGTGAACTGAGTGTTTCAACAACTGGAAAGCATCAGCAACCACTAGGAAAGATGGACGCCCTCGACACCCCCGACTATAGTCAGTTTGACAGCATCAGCACCGACAGCAGCCCACAGCGGTTGCCAGGTGGCCGGATGGAGAGGGGGTCTATTCTGGAACCACCTGTTGATGACCAAGTGTATTATGTTTCAGATGATACATACGGAATATTTGCCAGCGTGAGTAACCATGGTAACAGCTATTTATGCTGAGTTTTAAAGTGTGTGTTTGTTGTTTATTTGCCATAGTCAGTATTTTACCAGCTATAGGACATATGACGGTGACTGGACCTCACAAACCAGTGATTGATATTGTGAGGAAGGCTTCAGTGAGTGAGTGAGTATGTTTTTGCCCCGCCTTTAGCAACATTCAGTGCTCCAGATAAGATTTAGCTCATGTGGGTACTGTACCCACTGTATGTTTTGGAGTGGGTATTATGAATGTTGAGTGGGTATTTCTTTTCCAGTTAACCACTGCTTTCAAAAATGTGTGTATTTCAGTGAATTTACTCACCTAACTATATATCATTGAGTAAGTTTACTAAGCAGGTATGTACTGCCTTATGTCATACCTAAGCAAAACCAACTTAACTATAATGGAATTGATTTCATAAAACAGTACAACACTAGCCCTATACTAACAGTACAACTTCATACCAATCGATGTCTATTTCATTACGCGAGCGATTTTTATAAATATATTCCGTACGCATATGTTTTAAACCTTTTGCGTATCTAACATTTTAAATGCGTAATTGGTACGCAACAATTATATTTCAATGCGTAATTGGACATTTTCTATGCATATTTTACCCAAATATGCAGCTAATCTGGGCCTCTGAATATTCCAGCAATATCACAACGGGGACACCAGACATGGGCATTGTAACCATATGGGAATCGAACTCAGGTCTTCGGGAAGATGAGCAAATGCTTTAACAACTAGGCTACCCCTCTGCCCCTAGGAACAATTATTCATGCAAGAACGAGTAACACATCTTTATGCTTTGTGTGAATTTGTTGTTTAATACCACAGTGAGTGTTTTTCTATCTGTATGACAGCGACCAGTAAATAACTGAATCTGGACCAGACAATCCAGTGACTGACATTGTGAGGAAGGTTAAAGAACCACTAAACTTTGTTTTTGTTACTCTTTTAACCATTACATATGAAAGATTTGTGGTTAGTCTTATGCGAACACCAAATTTATTCTTTAAAAACTTGTGGTTAATTAATACCGAGCGATTAAAAGTGGCCAAAAGTCGCCTCGCTTCCCTCTCACCAACTAAAACCACAGACAGGTTACGTAACTCTGTCGCCAGAGCACTGCAGTGACGCCATATGAGGAACGATTTTCAGTTAGTTGTATAGAAAATGTGTAGCACGCCATCATTTTGATGATTTCTCGACATCAACGATAACATTACATGCCGAATCGCTGCTTTGTCGCCAATTGCTCCTAGGGTCGGGCGATGGTGTCCCCATGCACAGATTTCCACAGGACCCCGCAGTTCGTGCTAAATGGGTTATGTTTGTGAGTGCGGCTTTAGCCGCCAGGAAGCCTGAAACGATATCTTACTTGTGTTCAGATCGCTTCACTGAAGTTAAAGAATCAAAACTACTTACTAGTTGTAGTAAAATATGCATATGATTGATGACCATAAAGATTTTCTATGACACAACTTGTAACATAACGATTTCTTCCTCGAAGTGAGGTTGTGGTCGGCAACAATAATATTGTAAGTAGTATTATATTGACACCCACCTCGCTGCCACGAGAGAAATTGTTATGTTATACGCTATGTCATGCAAAATCCTATTGGCCATCAATAAAATACATATTTTACTACCAGTAGAAAGTAGTTTTGATTTTAACTCGGTGAAAACAAACCTAAATACCATTTATCCTCAGACTGGCGGATGTTCCCACAGGGCTCTCGCCATTTTAAAAATAAAAAATCTGTTAGAATTAATGAGATTATAGTTTGTTTTCATCAAGTTAGAAAATCAAGACTACTTTCTACTCAGAAGTTAAATATGTATTGGAATCATAACCAAACGGATTTTGCATGACACAACTTATAACATAACGATTTCTTCCACGGAAGCCGAGGGTGGGGGTCAAGTCACAATACTGCGCCGATAAATTTCTTGCTACATTCCCATGGTTAATGTCCACTCACCAGTATGTAGATACTAGTCAATGTGCGCCTTTATATTTGGTCTTATAATCCCAATTAGTTTATTATCATACTTGTATGCATTTTGAAACTAAATAAAAGCAGACGATCTGCTGATACTTATAGTGAATTTATAACAGAACTGTAATATCTAGACATTTTATAGTTTGCCAATGTGAATCATAATTCGCATTAACACACCCTAGTGCATGTTGTCTGTCTCATTACACTTCACGGCTAAAACAATGATTCTGTTGAATGCTACGACACAAATGAATAAAAACAAAATGCAAATATTAAAATTAAAACAGATTAAAGTTATAGGAACAATATCAGGCCATTACCTTGTTCGAGGAATGTATCCATCAATATCCACAAAACTGTTCCAAATGATGTGTCTTTTAACAGTTTAATATACTAAAAAAGATAAATCTTTTCAGGTATTGGTGTATAGTCTCATTGGTCACCCAAGATAGCACACCTGGCAACTAATTGCATAATGTCCGCTTTCTTTAAAAAACAGTAATTTAGTTAGCCAATAATGGGCAATCAATCAATGTATTGCCGGTTAATCCTTTGAAAGAAGGACGTTGTTTTACGCAGACACCGACACGACAGAGTGTATTCAGTATAGATTAGTAAATCTACATACATAAACACTACCTTTGACAATTCCGCTGTGTAAGATAAAAGTAATTAATCAATCAGCTTGTTATCGGTTAATCCTTTGATCGATGTTTATAATGTTGAATATTTACTCCAGACACAAGAAATGCCAAATGGGAACCTTTGTCGGTAATCTAAGTGTGTTACCACTAATTATACCTGTTATAAATTCATTAACTGACCATCAAGTGAATGATGACAAATAACATGTGTAGGTTTATACCACCTAACACGGTTACAACAAGGGAGTATTAATTGCTGTATTGCATGTGAAAACTTATGGGCCGACACTGTTTTGAGAATACAAACAGATTTTACATGACATGATTAAATATCGAGGTAAAAACACAGAAATGGGATCAATTTGGATCAGTCATTATACAAATAGGGCCTAACGACACCAATCGATTTTGACAGAATCGCCTATGAAAACAAGTTGTAACTCGAAACTAGGCAAAGCAGGAGACAAAATTAAATGACAGTAGATTGTGAGAACATATAGCTTTCATTTTCCACAACAATTGTCACGATTTCAGGTTTATACAAGCCTGTAAACAAGATAATTTAACCCCTAAAATGTAGATGAATTCTGCATCGCCCTCAAAGCTATTCCTCATATGACGCCACAGAGGCTACCGCCTGATTGGTTGAAATTTCGTCATGGGTGAGAATTGTGCACTGTTGTCAAAAAGGTCGATTTAAGTCAATTAAAGGTCGAAATGAGTAGTTTTAATGACGGGTTTCATTTATAACGATGCCAGTTAGTGATTTATGTATTTGTACCCCTCTAGGGTTTATGTGACCTTTAGTGGATATGGAGGATGATGGAGGGAGGGGAGGAGTCGGAGGCGGAGTTCCAGCACTTTGGCACGCTTCGCGCAGGTTCGGGATAAGATTGCCGGCCCTGCCTCAGGTGGCTGCCACCGCATACAGGCGCCCGACCTCGCCGAGTTTCGCCCCGGGGAGACTTCGCTTAGCCGGGTCGCCGAGGCATGCCTCGCGATTCTGCCATCACTGGTGAGTGAGGTGATCAATCCTCTCTTGACTGGTGCCCGCACGCGGTTTGATTTGCCCGACGTCGGCAAGCGGTACCAGTTGGGAGAGGAGACGCTGTTCGAGCCGCCAGTGGTCACTCTAGGGGGGTCGTCCTCGTCTTCCCTGGCCTCGGCCAGGCAGGGCAGGCGCCTCCCCCCTTTTCCTACTAATTCACTTACGCTGAAGTCTGCGTAACGGTCCTTCCAGGAGTGCTACCGGTGCGCAGCCCAGCAATTAAAAGTGGCAGTCCACTCAGCCTACCTGTCTGCTCTGCAGGGACAGCTGGTGGATCAGAGCGCTTGTGACGCCGACTTGTCGGCGCCGGTGCTCACGCGGCAGCTCACACGGCAGCTCACGGGGGTACACTCTCATCTGGCTCGGGATAGCATTCGGTGCTGTGCCAGCCAGATGATGGGTGCCGTGATGGGCTTGCGCCGCCTGTGGTTGTCTGTGGCGCGGTAGTCACCGGCCACACAACAGGCGCTCCTGTCATTGCCTTATACCATGGGGTCCTCCCTGTTCCCTGGGGCATTGCAGGTTGTACGGGAGGCCGCGGAGGCAGTTTCTACCTTCAAAGACTCTAAGCCTTTGTTGGAACAGCCCTCCGCTCCTCGCCACCGGCCTTCCCCACTCGCTTCCGCTTATCCTTCTGCTCCGGCAAAGGACGCTGCAAAGTGGACTGCCCCTTTGCAGTCCAAGCGGAGCAGGCGCGCAAGAGGCAAGGGCAGGCCTGCTCACGCGCAGCAGCCTTTTCGGGGCAGGGGGAAGCCAGCCCCGGCTTCCCGCTGATTCCTTCCCCAGAGCCCTTATTGTCCCCCACTCACGCAAGCGGAGACTTGCCGACTGTGGGGGTGCACTGCCTCATGCCACACGTCCCTGTCGGCGGCCGGTTGTCCCTATTTCTCCAGGAGTGGGAGGCAGCCACCTCAAATCCCTGGGTCCTGTCCACGCTCAGGGATGGCCATTTGCCACAGTGGAGGCGAGATCATTCGTCCTTCTCCGGGTTCGACAAGGCGGACGCGCTCCGTGCCGAAGTTCAGTCCTTACTGAACAAGGCAGCCATCGAGGTGGTTCCTGTCGGTCAGCAAGGAGAGGGGTTTTATTCCACCTACTTCCTAGTGACCAAAAAGGACGGAGGGTTCAGACCCATTCTGAATCTCAGAGGGTTGAACCAGTTACTGGAGGTGCCGTCTTTCAGGATGGAGACACTCAGGTCAGTGATCTCCTCCGTCGAGACAGGGGATTGGCTTACGTCAATCGATCTCAAAGACACATACCTCCATGTTCCAATGCACCCT